CAGTTTTTGCCTTCAGCCCAAATTTGACGTGTCAGCGAGGTCTGATTGTCGAAATTCGGAATCTACGCATACGATTCCCTTATGTGGAAACATTTTTGAAGCTCTACGACCTTCCTAAGGCCTTTTCCAGCAAAAAGGTGCGCAAATGTCCAGGTGCGCAAAAAAGGTCGCATTTGTCCCACCCCGAAAACTAGAAGACTAGAAAACTAAAACTAAACTACCGCTGAAAATATAAACTTGAGATAATTTGGCGATATATTGGGTTGTCCAGTTATGAATGCGCGTTTTTTACTATTCTGTAAATTTCTCAAGATACCGAAATCAAGAAAAAGTTATATATATGAGTATTATTCGAAAGCTGAAGATCTCCTCTACATTTTGATGTAAAAAGTTTTTGAATTTGTTCAGCTTTTGGGCAAATTGACTGCTCGGAAGAAGAGGTGGCCAAAAAATGGAAGGGCGCCTTTGGATCAAGTTTTGGCTCCGCTCAAATTGGAGTTAACCGTTTGATGTTTGGCCAATAGATATATCAATACAACTTTTTTTAATATATAACAATATCAGAGCATCTTTACTTTTCTTTTCTTTTCTGGGCGACTATTTTACACCATAAAACTTGAGGAATAGCTAAGCTGGAATGGGTTTTTTCGAAAACGACCTCTCCCTTTGTGCAGTCAATTTCCCTAAAAGTTGAATGAATTCAAAAGCTTTTTTATTCCAAAATGTAGAGGAGATCTTCAGCTCTCGAATGATATATAACACCCATATACATTCATTCGATATCTTGAGAAATTTACACATTACAAATTTACAATAGTAAAAACGCACATTCATAACTGGACAACCCAATAATTAGATAATTAGATAATTAGATAATTAGATAAATTAGATAATTAATTAGACAATTTGCCTTCTTGCAACTAAGTGATTGATTTGAATTATCAGAAAAGACTTTGCAAGAATTAAATTCCCTAAAAACTTGCAAATATTACGAAAGTTTTCAAGTTCATTTTGTTCTCATTAATAAATGCAACAGATTTTATTGCAAAAATGCAAGAAAGGATCCGAGCCAGCGACTAGCTCGAGCCTGATGTCGCTTAACCTGGCAGATCGGAATCTGCCATGTCGCCAGATCGCCCCCAATGGCTATTGCCCGACTAGTGAAGTACAACAGGTCAAGATGATCTTCTGTAATGAGACCTAGCTCATCTAACGCAGTTTTTCATCGAGATTTTTCTAATTTTTCTGAATTTGCTTTCAAAATCGGGCAAAACAGCAAAAGTTATGATCATTTTAAGTTTCAGGTTGCCTCTATAAAGGCCCTTTCACTCCGCAAGTAAATTTTCCACAACAATGTGCGTGCAACAGACAACAACAGATTCACAAGTACCAATATGAATCAAGAGACCAAAGCAAACTAAATAATACACTAAAAGTGAAAACAAAAAGTTTTTCTGCAAGAGGGATCGAACCTGAGCAATAGGCCCTATAGGCCGTTTGGCCTATAGGGCCTATTGCTATAGGGCCTATCTTGAGACAGGACTCTTACCCACTACACCACCAGCACACTTGTTTTGCGGAGTGGAAGGGCCTTTCTAGCGGCAACCCGAGACTTAAAATGCTCATAACTTTTGCCAGAAAGCTGTTTTGCCAATTTTAAAAGCAGATTCAAAATCTCCATGAAAAACTGCGTTAGATAAGCGTTCGCAGATTCGAAATCTGCGTTAGATAAGCTAGGTCTCATTAGAGAAGACCATCTTGACCTGTTGCACTTCCCTAGTGAGATGGAGTGGAGTGGAGTAATTGGAAAGGGTATTTAAAGAGTGTGGTTAAATATTTAGGAATATTTTAGACAGTGATTAGTATCGTTTTCTTTCCAATTTGACATTTCCAATTCACTTTTTTTGATTGCTCGAACACGACAATCTACAGAAGATTCAAACCATACCCTACCTCGATGAAGACACCGAATCATCTTCGCTTGTAATTCCTCTTTTTTCCAACTCGAAAATTTTCTCTTTTAACCACTCCAATGGACCCTCAAACGACTCGGCAAACTTTGTGAAAACATAAAAAGAAAATTTTGATGAGAGTTTTTAAAATCAATAAAATGAGTAACTCAAGCAATTGCGCCTCATCGAGCTCTTCGAATTTCCAACAATCAATAATCCGAGCCAAAATTCGTAGATCTTTTTGTGAGACTTTTTCGATTGTTTGAAGCATCGCTGATTGCTTCAAGACAAGCATCGACTTGCTTATAGAAACAGCAATTTGTGCTAAAGAAAAATGTGTTTCTTTTGCCAAAAACTCAATAATATTGGGTTGGTGAATTGAAAATTGATGCTTGCTGAATGCATGGTCCGACAAGAAACAGCTACTTTGTAGGCTAAAGCTTATTTAGCTGAAAGGAGCTTTCATGGAGCTTTAAAGGACCTAAATAGGAACTATAGAGGAGCTCTAAAGGAGCTTTGAAGGACCTAAATAGGAAGGCTAAAGCTTATTTAGCTGAATGTCCGACAAGAAATGGTCCATGGACAAGAAATGGGGAAGGACGATTTCTACGAATGGTTCTTGCTACGGCATGGATTCCTCATTGATCTTATTTTGATTTATTTTGATTTTGATTTAATTGATCGATTTTTGACTATTAAATGATCAGGGGCTATTTTGCGGATTTATGACGGAAAAAGTACCGCTTTTGGTATCTATTGGGTTGGTGAATTGAAAACTGTCGGCCTATTGTCATATGTGACAGTTTGAGCACTTTCTTCAAAGAAACCCATTTTGGTGTCAATGGAAAAGTTGTAGAGAATCAAAAATCAAGCTTATATCCTAATTTTCAGAACGATTCAAAAACTGGTTGTTCAAGAAATGCCAAATTTACGCCAAATTTACGAATTTTCACAAAACTTGCATGTTAAGCAGAAACTAATAAGTGTATCTTTTTGGAAATTTGGCTATGAGCCTGATTTTTGATTCTCTACAACTTTCTATTGACACCAAAATGGGTTTCTTTTGAAGAAAGTGCTCAAACTGGGATCTCCAGTCCCCATCTCCAGTCCTCCATTTTTGAGTCTCACACTTGTCTCACACAAAACAAACCGAAATCCTACTACGAAAGAGGAATCCGCAAATTGCCTGTAAAATGGGCAGAAGTCGTCAATAATAATGGAAATTATTTGGAATGAATCTATGGTTTTATGTTGAACAAAAAATTTTTAGTTCAAAGTCCCGCAATTTTCAATTCACCAACCCAATAGATCGGATGTTCGATTTAGAGTGAATTAAGGTCCAACGTTCGATCTGAATCAAGCCGATCACTCTAAGACAGGCATCCGATTCAGAGTAAGATTTAGAGTGATCGGCTTGATTCTAGATCAGACGTTGGACCTCGCTTCACTCTAGACAACAAGACTGGCTTTGTTCTGGCCCAAGGATCAGCGACTGATTCCAACTGATTTTTAATATTAGGTTGATGCATAAGTGTTTTCGTTTTTTCGTACTTACTGTTAAAAAGTAACAAATTCACGAAATTAATCTATAGTTTGCTCTATAAAAAAAGTGTTTTTTGTTGAATTTACATCTTTTAAATGAATTTCGGTTCACTTTCAAGCAAATTCGAGAGTGAAAAACGCCTTTTCGTAAAAATCTATAAAAAACTCTACGGAAAAATTGGCTGAATGAATTTCTCTGAAATTTTGGCGAAATATCAAACGTTTTTTTTCTCTATCTTTTATCTATTGACACGAAGATAGGTTTTCTTTAGCTAAGGTGTCTAAACCGCATCATCGAGTTAGCCCTTTTTGACTACCCGACTTCATACTCTCAAGAAAATCCAGGCATTAAATATTTTTAAACCCGTTTTAATGTTATTTTGCAGAAAAATAATTGCTTTTCTAATGAAATCAACCGTAGTTTAATTCGTGCATTTGTTGGCTTGAAACGGCAGACGAAAAGGAACAAAAACACTTATGCATCAACCTAATATTGGGTTGGTGGAAAAGTCCTTTCGGATTTTGGGGAGAGTACCAATTTGTACGGATTTAGACGTTTTATAGCTCATCCAGAAAGCTGAATTCAAGACGGATCGATTGGTAAAAACGTTTTGAGATATCTCTTTTCTAAAGTTTTTAGGAGCTATTTTTAATAAAGGACGGCAGAGACAAAAAATGGCTGTTTCACGTTTCGTTAGTTTTCCGTGCAGAAACCTCGGCTAAAACATGTGTTTCGTGATCAGCGTCAAAAACAACCCCTAGAACGCATTTTCAGAAAATTAGCAAGTACTTTTGACAATTATATTGTCACCGGTGGAAGTCGGACCAGCGACCCTCAGATCAATAGCCGTTCGCGATTTTCATTTTTTTTTTTCTTTTACCTTGTCTGAAAAAAGCCCTCTAACAACATCAAACAATGAAAAAAAAAAGAACGAGAAAATCGCGAAAAGGCGGAAAGGCTATTGATCTGAGGGTCGCTGGTTCGACTTCCACCGGTGACAATATTTGTCAAAAATTTTGCTAATTTTCTGAAAATGCGTGTCTAGGGTTGTTTTGACGCTGATCACGAAACACATGTTTTAGCCTAGGTTTCTGCCGGAAAACTAACGAAACGTGAAAAACAGCCATTTTTGTCTCTGCCGTCCTTTACTAAAATAGCCTAAAAACTTTGAGAAAGAGATATCTCAAAACGGTTTTTTTACCAATCGATCCGTCTTGAATTCAGCTTTGGATGAGCTATAAAACGTCTAAATTCGACAAATTTAAGGCACTCTCCCAAAAAATCCGAAAGGACTTTTCCACCAACCTAATAGAAAATTAGTGTGTGTCACTTGCACCAATTTAGCACTAATATAATCAATAATAATGGAAATTATTTCAAATGAATTCATGGTTTTATGTTGAACAAATTTTTGTTCAACATAAATTTAGTTCAAAGTCCCGCAGTTTCCAATTCACCAACCTAATATGATACCTGTTTATGTTGACTTCAAAAGAGTTGCCTCAGCAATTCAAGTCTGACACCGATATTGCCAGCTTTTGCGTTTTTGAAATGCTGAGCAAGACATTTTCGCCAAAAATTTGCGCAGCACCTTTTTCACCGATTTCAAGCTCTTCTTCGAGTTTGTACCTGCAAAAAGCTTTTGTAGAAAAACTAACATTAACTAGGGAGAGGCGGTCAGATCAAGGTGGCCTTCTTGTATTTGTTTTTATAGAGCTTTAAAGATAGAGCCAGGATTTGATAGGGGCTTTGAATGAGGATTCCGACTCAGCTTTTAGCTCTTCCAATGGAGCCCTGTACTGCAAGAGAATTGGCATCAAAGTTTAGATCTTTTTTTTCGGAGTTGTTATGGGTTTTATTTAAATAAAATAACATTTCTCATCAAAATATTCAGCTAACGGAAATCTCTGGCCTCTTGATCCAAGATCCTCTTAATTTGTTACCGTTATATATTGAATAAAGGTATTTATGTTAACTTTTCGAGATGGGTTGCATATTTGGTTAAAAGCCAGGCCTTTTGTGTGTTGCGGTAATTCTTGATCACCCTGTAATACTGTCGGATTTGTCTTTAAACTCAGATATCTTGCGATACAGAGCTCCATTGGAAGAGCTAAAAAGCTGATTCGGAATCCTCATTCAAAGCCCTATCAAATACTAGCTCTATCTTTAAAGCTCTATAAAAAAAACAAATACAAAAAGGTCACCTTGATCTGGTGCCTTTTCCTGATAAAGTTCTGCGTTCTAAGGTCTAACCTAAAAACATTTAGAGTTCATTTAGAGTTAATTTAAAAGTTCAAAAGTTATCCTAGCATCCTAGCAGGCTTTACTCACCAGTTTACAACGAGATTTTTGATCAAGTCGAGCGAGATTGGGATCTCTTGGTCGAAGCACAAAAGTAATGCATCCAGAAGGCTGAAAATATGGTGATTTCATTGATTTTCTATTCAAAAGCTGATTGATTGATTGATTGATTGATTGATTGACTCTAATTGATTAAACTGCAAGCAAGACTACCGTAAATAATCGAGCGGATTTGTGAGCGACGAGTCGGCGAGTTCGAACTCCTCATCATAGAAAGCCGCTTGGATCAAGAGGCCAGAGATTTCCGTTAGCTGAATATTTGATGAGAAATGTTTATTTATTTCGATTTTTGGTTTAAAGTCAAAGTCATTTAAAGTCATTTACCTGTTCTATCTTCTCGATAACATTTTCAATGATCATTTTCTGAATCCAACTCCCATTCTGGATTCGAGTGATTCGGGCGATCATGTGCGCAAACTAAAAACTTTTGCTTTTACTTTTGATAGTTTCGATTGCTAGTTCTGATTGCTGGTTCTGATTGGAATTAAAATCGAAACTTGATATGTTTTTAGCTCAATGAATTGAAAACTTACAATGCACGAAACTTTCGTCAAATTTCCCAGTTGCTCAGAATCGAGATTTTCATTGTCTTCGGCACAAAGTTTCGGAAATTTCCAAGATTTTGGGTTCTGCAAGCACTTTTATAGAAAACCAATAGCTTAGCTGCTGCTTCGCAACAAAAAAGAAGCAAAGAGCAAAAGAATTGGCGCAGTCACCAAGTGACCACACTTAATACTAGAAGGAAGAGTAAACACAAGCTCCCGTGTCACCGAGTAAGTAAGGAATCAGTGAAAGTAGTGGTATTTCACCGTTGCCGAAGCTCCCACTTATACTACACCTCTCAAGACTCTTCACAGTGCAGAGGGATCGAACCTGCGACCTCTCTCTTCCGTTCGTTTGAGGGACACGCGCGTTAACCACTCGGCTGCTCGATGGCGCAGTGCGAGCGCCCTTTCGCTCTAGTCCATACGACCCGTAGGATCGATGGCGCGGGATGAATGGCGCAGAATGGATGGTGCAGGATGGATGGCGCAGTGCAAGCGCCCTTTTCCCTAGCCCATACGACCCGGGTTCGACTCCCACCCGCGTCAGCACTTTTGGTTTTGTAAAAATTTAAAAACATGTTGCATAAGTGCATAGAATTCTAGCCAAACTAAGTATGAGTCATTTGAAATGGTCCACTGGGTGCGGAGGAGTAGTGACAGACAGATAGACGCAGCTCTTTTATAAGTTAGGTCCTATCTAGAAATCCTTCCGATCTAGACGGATTCTATTGGGTTGTCCAGTTATGAATGCGCGTTTTTACTATTTTGTAAATTTCTCAAGATATCGAACAGATGTATATGAGTGTTATATATCATTCGAAAGCTGAAGATCTCCTCTACATTTTGGAATAAAAAGGTTTTTGAATTCATTCAACTTTTTGGGCAAATTGATTGCACAAAGGGAGAGGTCGTTTTCGAAAAAATTCATTTCAGCTTAGCTATTCCTCAAGTTTTATGGTGTAAAATAACCGCCCAGAAAAGTAAAGATGCTCTGAAATTGTTATATTTAAAAAAAGTTATATTGATATATCTATTGGCCAAACATCAAACGGTTAACTCAATTTGAGCGGAGCCAAAACTTGATCCAAAGGCACCCTTCCATTTTTTTTGGCCACCTCTTCTTCTGTGCAGTCAATTTGCCCAAAAGCTGAACAAATTCAAAAACTTTTTATATCAAAATGTAGAGGAGATATTCAGCTTTCGAATAATACTCATAGATATCTTTTTCTTGATTTCGGTATCTTGAGAAATTTACAAAATAGTAAAAAACGCGCATTCATAACTGGACAACCCAATAGATCCGACGTCCGATCCGTCCTTCCAATTCTAGAAATCCTTCCGATCTAGAATCAGATCTAGAATCAGATCTAGAACCAGATCTAGAATCTAGAAATTGGACGGATTTCTACTGTAACTTATATAGTAGATAAAGGAATGACAAAGAAAGATTCCCGGAGAGGTGATTGACCTCTCAACCCTCAAATGCAAATGCTCTAACCACTGAGCTATCCCATTGAGCTCTCAGTGAGACAAAAATCTGCTGACTGCAGTGACGGCATTTTGAATGCGTAATCAAGCTTTGAAGGTAACTTCTTAGCTTCATAACTTTGTCTAGAGTTTTTTTTCTCCTTTTTGAGGTTACAACCAAGAGCTCAAAATCTTACAAAAGCTGCGAATCCGAGGATTTCCTGTGCTCCCGTCAAAATCGTTAACGCGAAAACGAGAATGTCGGCTTTAGAGAAGCGCTCGATTTTGGTCGTGTTGTAGGCTTTCTATAAGATTTTCATTACCAAAATAAAATAGGCTGATCTAATAGCTGATCTAATAGCTGATCTAATGAACTTTCTAAACAAACCATATAGAAATTGACAATTTTCCGCTCCCAAACTGTAGCCATATTGATTTCGATGAAGTTCTCGTCGTCGGTGAAAGAATCATCCACCAAATTATACGTTTTAAGTTCGGTTGGATAAAACTAAAATCGGAGCTTATCCAGGAGTTTCTTAAAGTAAAGCCATCTAAAACAATTTTTCGTTGAAAGTAGGAGAAAGAGGGCGAGGAACAAATTCAGGGCAATTCCCAAATGTGAAAACAGCGACCGAGTTCAATTGAAGTCGTTCCTCGCCCTCTTTCTCCTAGCTTTGAAAAACAAATGTTCAATGTAGCTTTACTTTAAGAAACTACATCAAATTGGCTACAAAATGAGCTATTAGGCAAGTTTTTTGGCTAAGTAGAAAATTTTTTATAGCCATTTTAGGGCATTTTTGAACCTAAACTTTGGGGGCTCAAAAAAAATTTTCTACTGAACCAAATGAGCTAATTTCAAAAATTTATTATAAAATATATGTATTATGAACATTTTTTATGTGGGTGACTTTTTGATTTGATGCCCGGAAATACCCTCATTCGTTAGCGGCTGAGTTTTGTAAACGGCTACGACATATCCATCTATCCATCTATCCATCTATCTATCTATCTATATATCTATCCATCTATCTATCCATCTATCTATCTATCCATCTATCTATCCATCCATCTATCTATCCATCTATCTATCCATCCATCCATCTATCTATCTATCTATCTATCCATCTATCTATCTATCTATCTATCCATCAACCATCTATCTATCCATCTATCTATCCATCTATCTATCCATCTATCCATCTATCCATCTATCTATCCATCTATCTATCTATCTATCCATCTATCCATCCATCTATCTATCCATCTATCCATCCATCTATCCATCTATCTATCCATCTATCTATCCATCTATCTATCCATCTATCCATCCATCTATCTATCCATCTATCCATCTATCTATCCATCTATCTATCCATCTATCTATCCATCTATCTATCCATCTATCCATCCATCTATATATCCATCTATCCATCCATCTATCTATCCATCTATCCATCTATCTCCTCTTAACTGTTTTTTTGATAAATTTACAAGTTAAACTTCATAGAATCTCATTTAAACCTTTAAAAATCTCAACTTTTAAAACCTACAGGTGGCAAAGATGTTTGCATTTGATTCTCCCGTTGCTCGGACTCTTCCTCAACCAGGTGGAAACGATTTAGCTGAAAAACAAGCTAATATACCTCTTTTTTACTTACAATAACTAGTTTTTAGCATTTTCAAACATTTCCTCACTCTTTGTTCCTTTCTCTTCCGAACTTTTGATTTTGCAATCGGCGCTGCAATCTTTTCCCTTGTCATACTTGGCGGGACTTCTTTGAGGATTTCAATCCATCGATCGACGTCAAGACTCAGTTTTGATACCAGAGCTGATGAGTAAGAGATCAATTGGAGGAAACTCTCGATCGATTCGGCTGCTTGTTTCAGCGACACTCGTTGAACGGCGTCTAAAAAGTTACGCTGAAAGTTATGCTGAAAGTTATGCTGAAAGTTATGCTGAAAGTTAGCTTACTAAAACGCTTACTAAAACTCGAGGAATAGCTACATTTCAGTTTTTGATGAAAGTTTTATGAAAGAAAGCCAAATTCAAAAGTTTTACGTAAAATTTCAAGCTTTAAGATTAAAAATGAGATCAAGTATCCTTTCAAAAGCCTAGTCATATCATAGTCATAGCCTAGCCATGTTATCCAAAGGTTTTTTTGATGTTTAACTGCTAAAAGAACGTTAGCTTTCATTTGCAAACATTTGCCAACTAAAAAATGATGAGATTGCTTTAGAACTTAGAAATTTTCGGCGTAATTCGATCTTTTCTTATCTTTTATATGCAAATTTCATTTGAAACGTAAAGCGATCTGTGGGATAGGCTAATTTCCGCAATTTTCTACAATTTTCTTTCCGCAACAGGGTTATTTGCGCAACTGAGGCGCAACTTGCCATAACTTTCTTCTAAGTAGGCGAATCCTTATGACTTTGATTTCATTTTGTTGCACTTATTGAGATCTACAAAATGAAACCAATATCATAAAGATTGGCTCACTGAGAAGAAAGTTATGGCGAGTTGCGCAAACGACCCAAATAACCCTAAAAAAATTGCGGAAACTGTTCTCGCCAGTTTTGGTTAATTTAGCAATTGAATACTGAGATTTTCTAGATAGCTTTTGTTTTGAAAAAACGATTCTTCTGGGTTATCGGGTGTACGGAGCTATAACCTAGCAGTGCATTAAACATGGGCACTAGAGTGTCTTCCTCTCAAATCAAATCGTTCAAATCATGTTTTCTAAAAGGTGCTAGTTAGCAAAGGCATTTTCTAAACGCTCTTTTTGCGCTTTTCTTGGGGTAGGCTAATTTTCGCTAATTTTTTTTGCGCAATAGGGTCCTTTTGCGCAACTCGCCATAACTTTGTTTCTGAGTCGGCCAATCTTTATGACTTTAGTTTCATTCTGTTGCACTTATTGAGATCTACAAAATGACACCAAAATCATAAAGATTGGCTAACTTGGAAGAAAGTTATGGCGAGTTGCGCTAAGCCTAAAAAAAATTGCGGAAACTAGCAATTTGATCACCAATCCTGATCTTTCGTAGGGCATTGTGAAGTTGCGCAAACGACCCAGTTGCGCGAAAAAGGTAGGCTAGTTGTGGAAACTAGCCTACCTATCTGTAAATTCTGCAATAATACCCCATCCTATAGGAGCGTCGCGTCGTCTCTCAAGCTGAGAGTCAGTTTACTCTCAAATAAACGCTCATATCTTGACACGAGTACGTTTATTTCTCCATGTTTTAATATCAAATTAAAGTAGAGAAAATGGGTAATTTTTTGAGATATAAAACATATTTTTAGCTTTAACCAGCGCTTAGAAAAAAAGTGATTGAAAAATGATGAAAAATCAGCTCTTTTTTGCCGCTTTTTAATCATTTTTACACGATTTTTTTACATAGCAAAGAAGTAAATTTCAACTCAAATCCAATCATTACCATAATATCGAATATTCTCCGCCAAAATCCTCAGTGTTGCCGCATCGGTGAGCGAATCGTCCGAGTTGCCGGTGAAAAACGATGAGTGAAGTAAAGGTAAAACTCGTTGCAATCCATGCTCAAGAATTGCACCCAAAACCGCCATCGAAATGCCAAAAATGCCAAAAAAAAATAAAGCCCTTCTCTTTATTTATTGATAAGTTTTTAGCGGAATGAATAAATTTTGGGAAACTTTTTTGTGAGGAAATGAGAAAAGGGACACCATTGACGGAAAGTGATAAGATAAAGAGCCCAGTTGGGTCTTGTCCAGAAGTTTTTTCCCTTCTTTGACTTTTTTGCCTTTTTCCCCCTTTTTTGACTTTTTTGATAGCTGTTTTTCTGTATTCTCAAGATTTTTCAATGAATAAATAAAATCTTTTGCTGTGTTTTTGCTTTTTTTTCTGCACCATTTGTTCACGTTTCTTCTAAAGAGCTTCTAAAGAACTAAAGAGCTTCTGAAGAGCTTCTAAAAAGCTAAAGAGCTTCTAAAGAGCTTCTAAAGAGCTTCTAAAGAGCTAAAGAGCTTCTGAAGAGCTTCTAAAAAGCTAAAGAGCTTCTAAAGAGCTAAAGAGCTCTAAAGAGCTTCTAAAGAAGAGCTCTGAAGAGCTAAAAGGGCTTCTAAAGAGCTTCTAAAGAACTTCTAAGGCTAAGAAGGCTTCTAAAGAGCTTCTAAAGAACTTCTAAAGCAAGAGCTAAAGGGGCTTCTAAAAAGCTTTTAAAGAGCTAAAGAGCTTCTGAAGAGCTTCTAAAAAGCTAAAGAGCTTCTAAAGAGCTAAAGAGCTTCTAAAGAGCTTCTAAAGAGCTTCTAAAGAGCTAAAGAGCTTCTCATTTCATGATTTTTGTGATTTCAGATTGAGTTTTCATATGTTTATTTTATTATATTGATCGAATAAACTTTTCACATCGAAATTTGTACACTTTTCACGCTCGAATCGCTCGTCGCTTTCGGCCGAATTGTTGTTGAGATTGAGAGGATTGCTGAAAAAGGATCGAGATTTGAGGCTTAGGCTTAGAGGGTGTTCCTCTCAAGAAATTACGTGAAATAGGAAACGGGTTGGGTCGAAATCAACTGAGTTTCTTGAATATCTTCTACAATTCTACAATATGTAAGATATTCGGTTTGATTTTAAATGCAATCGTTTTGCTATTTTGCACGATTTCTTGAGAGGAACACACTCTAGTTGAGATTGCGAATATGAATTCGATTCAATACCAATTACGTTTCTAAACTAATTGAAACTCATAGAAGATCAAATCTATTTTAATTTCGAATCAAAAGTTATAGTTCAGTAATGGGCTAATTACAAGAAGCGATCTTCAAAGACTGGGCAAAAATTGATTGTGGCACCGCGCCCGCCTTTTTTGCCATTGACAATCTAACTTTGAGCTCAAATTTCTTGGTGTTGGGTAATTCAATTGAATAGTTTTTGGTACCAATTGACAGAGGAAGAATTAGAGCATCTAATGATACCAAGAATATTTGAAATTGAACGGCCCAACACCAAGATATTTCAGCTCAAAGTTAGCCAATGGAAAAATGGGCGGGAGGCGTGTGCCCGCGGATTTGCGACGTGATTTTGTGGCTTTCTATTAGAGCATTTACGGGAACAGCTTTGAAGTCTACTCAGGTACCTGCACTACTGGACAATGAAATATCATATTTGAAAAAAGATCGCCACTTTCGCGCGTCTGTAACTCCCTTGTCTTTACCGCCATTGGCAATCCAACTTTGAGCTCAAATTTCTTGGTGATTGGTGGTCCAATTGAAATAATTTTTATACCAATCGACAGAGGAGAACTTGGCGCGTTTAATGATACCAAGAGTATTCAAATTGAATAGTCCAAGATCAAGATATTTGAGCCCAAAGTTAGATTGCCAATGGCAAAAGCGGCGGCGCGCATTTCCAGCTTCCAAATCTCTATTTTTCCAATAAAAAAGCTATTTCTCATTTAAAGAATCAATTTTTCTATGCAATACCTTCATTTCTTTGCTTTTTTCATTTCTTTTTCATTTCTCAACTCACCAATCCTGCGTTGTATCCATTACAGTACTGTGTGCAGTCCATTTGAGCCGACATTCCGTACTGTTGTTGAGAGGTTTGTGTGTTTTGTTGTTGGTTTCTGAAAAGTTGAAATGTTTTTGGTAAAATATCTAAAGAATTTTCTTCGTTCAACTATAATACCCACCCAAAGCTAGTCGACCCAAGCTGTTGTTGGCCTTGTTGTTGGCTCTGTTGTTGGCTCTGTTGTTGGTCTTGATTCTAAAATAACCACTGAGTATCGGATTTCAATTCGTTTTTGTCTGGACTCAAAAAAAAAATTCTATTACAAATTGAGTAAAAAGTTAAACTTAAATTGGAATGAAATTGGAATGAAAGTCGAAAATCACCTGCGACATTTGTTGACAAACTGGGGCACACTGTTGTTGCATTTCCGAGGCGCTCACTTGCTGAAAGAAAAGTGATTCTATCCGATAGGCAATCCCGCTCGTAATTTCAATAGAAATCTGTGAACTTATCAAAAATTTGATTCTAATTTGATTCTACAGCTTCTGTCTCAGATTGCTCTAGCTCTAGCTCTAGCTCTAGCTCTAGCTCTAGCTCTAGCTCTAGCTCTAGCTCTAGCTCTAGCTCTAGCTCTAGCTCTAGCTCTAGCTTTAGCTCTAGCTTTAGCTCTAGCTCTAGCTCTAGCTTTAGCTCTAGCTCTAGCTCTAGCTCTAGCTCTAGCTCTAGCTCTAGCTCTAGCTCTAGCTCTAGCTCTAGCTCTAGCTCTAGTGCGAAAGTTATCAGAGCTTTTAACATGAACTAGCATTGGCTGTATGTGAGATGAGAACTCAACTTGACAAGATCCAATTTGGCTATGAATTGACATTGAAATTGACATTGAAATTGATATTGAACTTGACATTGAAATTGACATTGAAATGAATCTGGTAATCAATCAGTTGCCAGTAGTGTAAATATCAGATCTTTCAAGGCTCTAGCACAACATTTAGAAGCGGTTCTCATTGCGTTAGTTTTCGAATATTCAAAAAATTTTGATTGTGGGACATTTGACACGTCCAATGCGTCCAACAAGCGGTTGTTGAACCTTTTATTTGCGCCCCGCCCCTTTTGCCATCGGCAATCTAACTTTGAGCTGAAATTTCTTGGTGTTGGGTGGTCCAATTTAGATAGTTTTTGTACCAATCGATAGAGAAAGACTTGGCGCATCCAATGATGTCAAGAACATTTAAATTGAACAGCCCAACACCAAGAAATTTCAGCTCAAAGTTTGATTGCCAATGGCAAAGTGGGCGGGGCGTCGTTCCTTTTATAGGCGCCCCGTCTCTTTTGCCATTCGCTATCCAACTTTGAGCTCAAATATCTTGTTGTTGGGTGGTCCAATTGAAATAGTTTTTATACCAATCGATAGAGAAAAACTTGGCGTATCTAATGATATTAAGAACATTTAAACTGGACCACCCAACACCGAGAAATTTCAGCTCAAAGTTAGATTGGGACGGGGCTCGTATCAAATGTGCAATAACCAAAAATTTTGGCTTACTTGATTATTTCCATATGGAGATTGAGTGCTGCTGCCAAATTGTTGTTGGTATTGATTGTTCTGTTGTTGATAGTTGTAGCTTTGAGTGGTCTGATCGAACTGAAACTTTGAGTTGAGTTAAAGTTAAAGTTACTTGGAGTTAAAATTGCCTTAAAGGTTAAAAGCTTATTCATTTGTTAAGCAAATTTCGTTTTTGCTTATTCGACAAAACAAAACTCGCCTGATTATTCGCATATTGCTGAGTGTTTCCGTACTGTTGTTGATTCTGATTGTAGTTCGAGCTTTGCTCGTACTGGAAAAGTCATTTGGGATTCTTCAGTTATCGAGTATTCAGGAATATCGAGTTTTAAAGTCTACCTGTGGCTGCATTCCATAAGCTTGCGTAGTTCCATATTGTTGTGGTTGTTGCTGTTGCTGTTGTTGCTGTTGCTGATAGTATGGGCTTTGGGTGGATTGGCCGTACTAAAACGTTCGAATAACTGACCTTTCGAATAACTTCTCGTGATGTAAAGTAGAAGTACTTTTGTAAAGTAAAAGTGAAGTATCTTAGACAGACAGACAAACAGACAATTTTCTAGACAAAAGTGTATATTATTGTATTCTGAAAGCCCGAGTAATTCCTTCTCTTCCTTCCTTCCCTTTCTTCCTTTCTTTCTCTTCCTTCTCTTCCTTCCTTCCCTTCCTTCCTTTCTTTCTCTTCCTTGACTTCCCCATTCCCTCTTCAAAGAAGGCGCTGATAGCTCAGTGTTAAAGCTATCCAGCTTTAGCTGGTAGCTCGGCATCTATTCAGTAAGCAGAAGGTCGCGAGTTCAATTCTCCCTCGGGAATTCTTTACCATTCATTTCTTTACTTTATTGAACATTTCAAACTCATTGCAAACTGATACACGTACAGTAAATTGATTTTTAACAAAATACCATTGCTTTTTAGCAAAATACCATTGATTTTCAACAACTAAATACTTGATTGTCTGATAAAAAAAGTAAGAGCAAGTCAAGGGCATGGGAATGTTGAAAGGTTTGACGCGCGTCTACTTGATCGACGATTTCCCGGCACAATCCCCTATCATTCTCACGCCAAATCAACAACAAAAAGAAAAGAACTAGAAGATGCGTCATTTCGACTGGAAATCACGCGAAAAATGACTAGGATAATCGCAAGAAAAGCCATTCAAAGTTAGATAACTGATCACTAATTGCTAAGGTGTTGATGGATTAAACTTCCGCGGATTTCATTGATCAGGATTTGAAAAAGCTATTCTTTTTAATTTTAACAATAAATAACGACTTCTACTTATAGATTTCTTAAATCTGTTTAAATTTCAAATCAAAACCATTTCCCAGAGACGGAAAACTTCTTTTCGCTCGCTCAAAGTAGCCGAACGAGTTCGAAAAATCTAGAATATCTACCTGTTGTTGTTGTTGTCCATATCCTTGTTGTTGCCCGTACATATTGCTGTTTGATTGACCGTATTGCATGTTGTTTGTGTTTTGGTATTGACTAAAAATCTAGCTACTTTCTCTTCAAAAATTGTCTCTCACTTTTGAGCCGTTTGACCATACTGAGACTGCGACGAAGAGGGATTGCGGAATTGTTGTTGTGAGTTTGGCTGTGTTCCTGTAAGAGTAAGAAGTCTATGAGATTATTGAGCATTGCAAAATGAGTCAATCAGGAAATTCTGGGGCCTGTTTTGAGCTCAAATTAAACTCTAATTTCTTTCGTTTCACACCATTGCTTCCCATTCCTTGTTGAGCCGGAGTTTGTGGTGGAGCGGGTGGAGCGCCGCCGATTGAGGGGAAGAATTTCGCGTTCAGAGCTTGAGTCTCCTGAAAAATCAGAAATCTGGTCGGCAATCAGTTTTTCAATGAACAACTTGAAGCTTCTGGAAGCCTTGAAGCCTTCTGGAAGCCTTGAAGCCTTCTGGAAGCCTTGAAGCCTTCTGGAAGCCTTGAAGCCTTCTGAAAGCCTTGAAGCCTTCTGGAAGCCTTGAAGCCTTCTGGAAGCCTTGAAGCTCCTTGAAGCCTGAAGCTTCTTGAAGCTTGAAGCAATTTACCTGTATTCTTTGTTGATTCGTGTACTTGTCTCCTTGATAGTCAGGCAAGTAACCGGGCTGATTTCCGCTACCGCTTTGTCCTGGAACTTGGCTTTGGTAGAGGGCTTTGGTAGAGCATTTAGTTAAAAATTGTATTTTCTAGAATCGAAATCCTATCAGATTTAAATAAAATCAAATTTTACCTTGCTGTTGCTGTTGCTGTTGCTGAGCCAAAACTACCGATAACAAAAGTGTGGAAAGGATAATCCTAAAGCAAGACGTTTTATTTTAAAATATTCAACATTACGTTCTCATCGTTGCCGAAAAAATCGCGTCTAGAATAGAAGAAAGGGCACTAGATAAATCCTTTTTCCAGCTTTTATATTCGAGCCGGGGCGGTGCCTGAGAAAAATCCGCGCAATCGAGAGAAAAAGCAAAAGAAAAAAACTGCAGAAAGAACTGCAGAAAAAAGGGAGTCTCCGGTTTGACTCATCAGTGGTTTTCTATTTTTTTTTCTTTAGAGTGATAGCTTTTTACTGGTTAATGTTGATGTTGAAGATGTCGATCATTAAGCGCTTCGCTTTTGAAAAGAGTAAAGCATTTTAGAATTGTTTTCCAGCAATTCCGGAACCGATTCTCATTTTCACGATAGTCACTAAATCTAAAAGTTTATCTAAAATCTAAAAGATCAATTAAACCCGAGTTCCAATTTTTTGTGAGACTTTGAATGAACAGAATGAACAGAATGAATGAATTTGAATGAATTTGAGTGAATTGAACCTTGATAATGTATTGTCATTGATAACATTGATAATGTATTGTCAACTTTTGATATACCGTATTTTCTCTAATAGTAGTGCACCCAGAGTGTCGCCTAAATTTCTCGAAATCTCGAGAACCGCTTATCAGAACCTATCGATGTGGGGTCGGAAAATGTAGCTGACGATGAGATCTAGTGGGGAGAAGAGTGTTGAGTTTCTGGGAAAAATTGGAAACCGTAAAATAGGCATCAACTCGGCTCGGCCAGGGGAGGGGGAAAGGGCACTACAATTAGAGAAAATCCAGAATAAGCGGAGTTTTTTGACTCATGAGAATAAATGCATTCTATATAAGGGAGAGTTAACTTATAAAGCCTTGACCATTATCTTTATCATAGCCTTTATCATATCATAAAACCATTATCTCGGTTAACAAATGATTTTCAGAAACTCATTTGTTATAGTCATCAACTCGGCTCGGCCGGGGTGAACTACTTTTAGACTACAATACGGTACCCATAATCGGCTAGTCGGTTACGATTTTCGCTAGCGAACTGTGCAAATTTGAATACCGTATTTTCTCTAATAGTAGTGCACCCTGAGTGTCGCCTAAATTCCTCGAAATCTCGAGAACCGCTTATCAGAACCTATCGATGTGGGATCGGAAAATGTAGCTGACGATGAGATCTTGTGGGGGATTTGAGTGTTGAGCTTCTGGGAAAAATTGGAAACCGTAAAATAGTCACCAACTCGGCTCGCTGGTGTCCACTACTATTAGAGAAAATACGGTAGTTTTAAAGAGGACACTTCAGTTTTTCAAAGGAACCAAATAAAGATTCAATCAATCTTTCAATCAACTAACCAACTAAGTTCAATCAACTAACCGAATCTGGGAAAATCGAGAGAAAAAACTCTCAAATCAGATCGCATTATTCATTAAAGGATTTGAATGAATTTATTTAAAAGTTTAGACTAAATAAATGCGATTTTTAATTGGTAGCTATTGGAATTGATTGATTGATTGATTCGGGGATTGATCGGGGATTGATCAGGGAATTGATTCGTGCTATTCAATATAATGAATAGCACGAAGCAATTCCCCGATCCTGAAAATCCCCGGGTCCAAATTCACAGCTGAATCTCTTCTGTATCATCATCATCTATATATCGTATTGATTAGCGATTGACTTTGACGTATTGATTGACTATATATCGCTGTATCATCTACAATGCAAAAGAAAAAGATTGTAAATGACTAGCGAGGTGTTGGTTGTGCGGCCGGGCAATCGCTAGCTTTCTGGCGTACCGCTCTGGTGTAAAGTGCTTCCCTTCTCGAATCCGTAAACGGGAAGAAGCGGTGAGCAACTGAGCTGACTTTCTCGTTTCTTTGCCCAAATTTTTGGGAGTAATTCTTGCCCAAAATTTGGCTGCATTTTTGCTACAAATTCTGCACTCTACAAACCAAAACTAGATGAAATCAAGGTTGAAACGATCTGCAAAGCTGATTTTCTCGTTTAATACCTGATAAAATATTGATAAACGTATTTACTTTAGTCATTTCTACATAACATCACAAAAGTCATCAGTCAAAGTCAAAAAACCTATTACCAACCATCATTTTTGATCTTTTGTTGAGCAATTTTAGTAAAGTCTTTCGCTAATCACTATTCAAAACTCATTAGTGTTGGGTGCAAGACGAAAATGATCGTTGAAACGATGAGAGAAGAGGAGAAAGTGTCGGAAGTCAAAGGGTAAACAGATCGAATGAGGAGAGATTTCTCAAAGTGTTTGGGTCACTCCATCCCTTTCCCATTTCCCAAAAAATCTTTCTTCATTCGTGCCAAACTCCGCAGAAAATATTTTCCCCCGTTCAGATTTTAAGTGATAAAGTGCACACAGAGTTTTTCCCTCCTTGGCTTTTCTTGGAGACTTGGTGTTTGGCTCACTCAAGAAACAGCCTGAGATTATGGATAAGTGGGGGGAAAGTTGTAGAGAGATCATTGGCAAAAGATACTATCTTTTCGAGATTCTTGGGACAAATAACCTTTTAATAGAGTAAGAAATGGTAAAGAAAGATTTCCGGATAGGGGATTGAACCCTTGAGCTTTTGCTTTTAGAGCAATTGCTCTAAACACTGAGCTATCCGGTATCTTAATTTGCCAAAGAAGGAAAGACAAGGGGGAAGAAGAAAGGAAGAAAGAAAGAAGGAAAGACAAGGGGAAAGAAGAAAGGAAGAAAGAAAGAATCTGATCCGTTTGAGCTGCTCATGTTAGTGCTTTGATGTTAATTTTTACCCCTTTCAATCACCCAAATATTTATTATTACATGATCATTACAAGTATATGCACAATAATACCAATATCAGCAATTAGCTGAGTTCAAAACCGGTTTCCGAGTGAATCGCGTAACGAAGCTTCTGCAAAAGAGTGCTCTTTTTTGAGTAGTTCGGCAGTTTCAATAAGTTGAAGCAAGTTGAAGCGGTGGGTAAACTGAAAATTGCGCTCGTTTTTATTTAAGACAAATCGAATCAAATCATCAGCTCAACTTTAAGAAGTACTTTGTGCTCAAGGAATGATAGAATCTTTTCTGGCACAAAAAGGACCTAATAGGTTCAAATAAACATTCCCACCGTGACGGAGCCTCCTTTCGTTTGATGGCCAAAAAGCCTCGAACCACCGACGCCAGTGTGTCACCTTGATCCTGAAAAACGAAAATTTTGAAGTTAAGAAGTTACCTAACTAGCGAAAAGCACGCTCAAGGTGAGCTTTGTCTGAACAGCTAGTGTACTTTATAGAATCGGATATGAGGAATCTGAATCTGGAATCGAAATCCGTCAATTGACTTTCGAGGCGTGTCAAACTTCAATCGAAAGTTTGGCGTCAAAAAGGATACTTTAACGGATCGAAAACGGATGCTTTAAAGGGCTCCTTTCTAGCAGAACAAATGCTTTAAATAGATCCTTCCTAGCAGACAAAAAGCGCGTCGGTGGCCTAGTGAATAACGCATTAGGCTCTCGCAGACAGATTCATGGTTCGGTCTCTGATCCAGCTTTTTGTTTTCGTTTTTCTTTTGGAGCAACTTCTAGCATTTTGCAGCTAATTTCATTATGGTTTTTCTTTTAATTTCTTCGATCGTATATTGCTTACACAATTTGCCCAAATTTCTTGCAAATTTACACTAAAATGCAACATTTAAGTGCAATTAAAAGCTTTGAAAAGCTTCAACCAAAATGCTAGAAGTTGAAATGCACTTCACTGCTAGAAGTGAAGTGTATAAAGTGGACTAAATGTCCAGACCAAAGCTCACATTGAGTTCGTGCCTTTCCCTAACAGAAGTTAAACCTTATAATAAGATCTATAGAATTATTTGATTACCAAATCATCCGAAACCTCGACACAACGAATTGAGAACGGCGGCTCAAGATAGGCAAAGCCAAGCAATGGACCCCGAGAACAAGAGGTGACAAACTGAAATGAGAGAACTCAGACCAATGCTTATCAATGCAATAACTCAATTTTAGATGTATCAACCGTAAAATTAATTTATAATTAATCTATCACCTTTAAGAAAAGTCTTCTCTCCTCGGCGCTAAAATCGCTCTCCAAAATCTGCCACAACCATTTGATGAGTCGATGATTTGAGTGAAATCCGCCATAATATTGGACGTGCTTCCGAAGATCTTGCAAATCGATGTCACTAAAGTTAAAACTCTAATCGAATGCTAATAAAGTAATTCTAGAAATTTTTTTAGTAACAACTAACGTCGTTGTTCTTTAGTGACAACTTTAGTAACAACTAACGTCGTTGTTCCCGAAATCAAATGCTGAAGCTCATGTGGGGCGAACAAAAACAGCCACTCCGGGTTCAGCACCGATTGGAAGCCATCAACAAAAGCCTAAACATTATGGTTGAATTATTTGGTTGAGTACGAAGTCTTTCACTCAAATTCATTTTCTAATTGAATAATTCTCAAGCTACCAAATGAAATACGGTTTTTTTGATTAGATAGCCCAATCATTCCTCTTGCAAATTTTCTGAAAAGCTTAGTTTCGCAGGTTTTTTATTAGCAGTGAGCCGAGTGTTCAAAAACGACAGAAATTATGGAATTTGGACCGTTTCTTCCTATTTTGATGATAAAATAAAAAAGATAGCGCACAAAAAGTTACATCTACAAAGAAAATTTCAGAATAATCCGTAAAGCAGTCTTCTTTATTTGCTTTTTTTTCTTTCTTTATGGTTTTCTTCTTTATGTTCTTTCAATATTTTTAAAAATACCAGTTTTCCTTCTCGTAGATTATTCTAAAATACTAAAAATTGTCTGAAATTGACAAAAAGTAAACGACAAAAATCTATAATGAAAGAAATTGTTTGGTATTTGGTAGTTTAAGACTCGTTCCTTTAGATAATGAAATCAAGACTTAGTACTCAACCTAATAAGTTCACATACAAAATGATTTCAACATTAGCCGATAGTAAAATATAGAGTGTGGCGAAAGTTCTGTTCATTTTAAAATTCTCTTTAAAAGCTTCCTAGCTGATTTTTTTTTTATAAGTGTTTATAGCCAAAAGGTAGCCAATCTTTTACAGAATTTAAATCTTATTACAGTTTTTAAATAACCTTTTTAGATTTTGAATTATCGCAATTTTATGCTTTTCGAAAAAAGGATCTATGGTCGCACATACATAATCAAGGAAAACATCAATGAGACATTACTTTTGTGGAGCTATTTCTTAAGTAACTTATTGTTTTTCTTTTATACTTTAATTTTTCTGCAATGTATACGGATAAATCTTATAATCCTGAAAAGTAGAGTATTATGGGTAAGCAAAATACCCTACACTTTTTGGGAATATCGTTATTTTGCAAGATTTTCGTACGAAAGAAACTTTTGGATGGCAATGGGACAATACATTTGTGGACCACTGTATTTTTGCGCTTTTTCATTGCAAAAATTCCTATAACAATTACAAACTTATTGGAAACAGTTGTTGGATTTCCAGTTTGGAACTGATAAACAATTTTTTGAAAACTTTTAATCGTCTGAGCTCTAAGTTTGACAGACTTTCTTATACTAATAATACTAATAACTGGGCGACCACAGAGCTCACGCAAATTGTCATAATACAAAATTTAAAGAAGCTATTTAAAAAAGGTAATAAGATTTAAATTCTGTAAAAGATTGGCTATCTTTTGGCGATAAACACTTATAAAATAATAAAAATCAGAGAGAATTCAATTACCTAGGTAAAAAGAAGGTAAAAAGAATTTAAAAAGGACAGGACTTTCGCCAAACCCTGTATTTTATGATTAGACTGTGATCCACTCATACAACTCCTCACCTTTTGCTGATGTCTCGTTTGTGTGTAGACGCGATACTTGGCCATCTTGTGAATGTAGCTGATTCTAAAAACGGAAATAATACAGAATTTTATAAATCTCAAACTTGTTCTCATTTGTGACAGGTAAAGCTCTTCCACCGGGCACCAAATCAACGGTATTCACTTTTCCCAGGAAATCCTCATCAATTGAAAAGGTGAGCGCCAAATCGGACACATCAGCAGAGTCGGTATACCTGAAAGTGAGAAAAATTGAATATTGAATAATGTGACACAAACAAATACACAACTCAACTGCCCTAATATTGCAGAGAAAAAAACGCATATATGGGAAAGAGCCAAATTTTCTAGCCGCTGGGATCGAACCCGGGACCGCCAGGTTGACCAGATTACAAGACAGCCACTCGGCTATGGGGGAGAAGGGATTTGGGCATGGCGACGAGTTAGAAAGGCAAAAGACGCTGACCGCTCCTTCCCCTTGGATTGCCACTTGGAGGGTTCAAAACGGAAGGACCCTATACCGGATGATCTGCTAGATAAAGAGCGATTACGCGACCGCACAAAGAACACCTCGCTAGTCATTTACATTCTTCTTCTTTTGCGTTGTAGATGAAACAAAAAAATATTCAACTGTAAATTTGTACCCAGGGCTTTTCGGGGTCGGGGAATCGATTGGCGCTATTCATTTCATTGAATCTACCAAGTGGAACTCGGGTTTAATTGATCTAAAGTTTCCTTTAATCTAAATCTAAACTAAGGTTTCCGAATTCATCTAAAAGCTATGCAAAAACCATAGATAATTTTTTTAAAAAACCCCGGATAAGGGAGAAGAACCAAAAAAATTTTCGCTGGTTATATGGTTCTCTTTGAAAAGCGCAAAGAATTGCTGTAAATGTTCTAAAATTGAGTGAATAGATTGGATTACAGTGCTCGGTAAAGGGAAATTGACTGAATTAACTGGGTATTTATTGGTGGGGGTGGGACAAATGCGACCTTTTTTTGCGCACCTGGACATTTGCGCACCTTTTTTTGCTGGAAAAGGCCTTAGGAAAGGTCGTAGAGCTTCAAAAATGTTTTCATAGAATCGTATGCGTAGATTCCGAATTTTGACAAATCAGACCTCGCTGACACGTCAAATTTGGGCTGAAAGGCAAAAACTACGCAGCTTAACACTTTTCTGCAGTTTTTGCCTTTTAGCCCAAAGTTGACGTGTCAGCGAGGGTCTGATTTATCGAAATTCGGAATCTACGCATACGATTCCCTTGTATGGAAACATTCTTGAAGCTCTACGGCCTTGCCTAAGGCCTTTTCCAGCAAAAGAAAGGTGCGCAAAAAAAAGGTCGCATTTGTCCCACCCCCGTTATTGGCTTTTGGGTAACTAAGACGGAGCTTTCTAAGAAATGTTTTAGCATTTTTCTTTTTTATTTAAGATTTATTTCTTTACTCACCTTTTCACGTAAGTCAAATTCTTGTAAAGCTCAGGGTCAAAGTTGGCCAACTCATCGAAAGAGGACAAATGACCAGAGCCAAGAACCTAAATTTAATTGGTGAAAACTAGTGCATAATCTTTCTATCTATCTATCTTTTTTCAGTTATTCTTCTAAAATATACCGTTGCCAACAAAACTGGCGCCAATTGCACATCAACAACGATTCCCTCATAAACAGCTTTAGCCAACAATCGCCCGACGAATGTGAACAAAGCAAGGTGTTCTTCGTTTATTGATGAAGTGGACGAAGGATAGAGATGACCGGTGGAACTGCTCTGAAAGCAAGATTCGTACAAATTCGTACAACTACAATTTGTACAACGTACAAAGTACAACTCTTCAGAAAATTGTTAGAGAATTTAGCCTGTAAGAGCTTGTAGCCTACCTTGAACAGATTCAGCGCTGGATCGAAGACTTGTTTCAAGGTGAGCTCTAGGAATTCTTTAAACACGCCATCTTGATCAATTCCCGCCTCGTCTAGTCCCTGAAAAGTTTGCAGTTTGACTTTTTAAACCAGAAAATTCATATTCTACTAGAATTTTATTGATAAACCAGCCGACAAAACCCATTCTTAGCCACCCAGAAAAACCCGCATAACAGAGGGTTTTCTGGACTGCTGACTGGTGGTCACCGTGGCGCAGTTGGGAGCGCTCTACAACCCGCACAGTCCAGGTTTGACCCACCGTAGTGCCACTGAACTTTGATTTTCTTAGTTTTTCATTTTAAATGACACAACTACCGGATTTCCTCTGTAGTGCCCCGCATCGAGCCGAGTTGATGACGGTTTTACCGTTCCCAAGCTTTCACAGAAGCTCAACAGTCTAATCCCCCACTAGATCTCATCGTCAGCTACATTTTCCGACCCCACATCGATAGGTTCTGATAAGCGGTTCTCGAGATTTCGAAGAATTTAGGCGACGCTTAGGGTGCACTACTATTAGCACAACTTTTTTGGTCCAAAAGCGGCTAAGAAAAAGCCAGTACAAACGGACAGACGGACGGAGAGACACTGCTCTTTTATATATAGTAGATACCTGCTGATTGACGAATTTCACACGGATCGTATGTCGCAAAGCATTTGGTGACAGCATAGACAGCTGCCTGTACCCATCCTCGACCAGTCTTGATCGACAAACAGTCACCAAAGTTGCGGGTTGTGAACGTGAGCCCTAAAGAAGAAGTGTAAATTAAATATAGAAAATTGTCAAGAAAAATCACTGACCTTATCAAGAAGAACGATCTTTCTGAATAGAACCATGCGTTCTTTCAGAGAAATCAAATGGCTCATTCTTCTCATCAAAAAGATACCCCTCTCCGTTTTTCTCTCGAACTCGCTAATCAGCGTCGAACTTTTCGCATCACTAAAAAGAATCGGATAGTTCGACTTTATATTTTCAAAGTAAAATCAAGAATTCCTACGGTGCTATCCAAAATTTCGAGTCGTTTGTGAATGATCGACGCGAATCGCGAGCATAGAGGAGACTGTTCAGATTGTGAACCGATTCGAACAAAGGTAGACCATTTTTGTTGACTGAAATGAACTTTCTAGAGATCGTTTATTGATTGAATCTATTGTGAAACTTAAGATCTATTGCTCACTTACTTAACAATCCATTCCACACGGCTCGAAAGCAGAAAAGATTCGTGAGGCGAGCGATAGCGGCGAGTTGCGGTTGAGAGAACGGGGTGCCCTTCTCGTACATCTCTTCTTCGTCAAGAATTCTAAAAATCCACTATTTCAGACGTTCGGAAACAACCGGCATCTTCATGTCATGTTCAGTGATGAGAAGATATCGACTTTTGAAGCTCGTTTAGCATACGATATTGTCAAAGCATACGATATTGTCAAAGCGGTGGCATCACAAAAGAGATGCAGTGGGTTGAGATGCGGTGTTGTTGGATCGGAGGCGAAAAATGAGAGTGACGTCGCTAGAGGCCCATTGCTTCCGCTCAACGATGAGCTTCCGCCTGGAAGTGTTACGAGTTTCTTTTCATAGATTTCGTTAAGAATTTAACAGTTCTTGCACTAGAAGAAAAGCTTGCACTTGCAAAGAACAAAACTATTCCTTCAAAAAGCAAAAAGAACGAACCCCATTGCCTCAAGTATGACCAAAGTTGTCCCAGCAGTGCATCCTCTCGACATAGACCTAAGAATTTGCCATTTTAGAATAAAGCTTTGCTTTTACCAGATAAAATCTCGGATTTCAGATTCGTAAATGTGTTGAGAGCATTCATATAGAGTTGACAAACAAGTGTTGTCATCGAGAGAGGATCATTAAGAGAGACGGCTGAACTCTCTGACAAGCCCATTCCGCCAAGTTTTTTCCAGAGTTCTAAAAGTTTAATGAAGATCTTACAAGTACTATAAGTACTATAAGTGTTATAAGTACTATAAGTACTATAAGTATAAGTCTTCTTCTTTCTTTCTATTCTTCTCAATTAAAAAGTATTATTCTAAGCTTTTCATCTTTATCTCATAACTAGACTCACTTTGAATGGAATGTCCAATCTCAGTGGCTTCTGCCTTGAAGCTTTTCGAATCGGAAGAGGAATCCACGCTTGGCAACACCTAAAAGCAGATTTTAGCCGTTAAGATAACATCAAATGCAGCTTTTAGCAGCAGGCTTAGGCTTAGGCTTAGGCTCAGGCTCAGGCTCAGTCTCAGGCTAAGGCTCAGGTTCAGTCTCAGGTTAGGTTAGGGGGGCTGGGCTGGGGTTGGGGGGGGGGGAGGGTTTGGGGTGGGTTGGGTTTGGGGGGGGGGGGGGGTGGGCGGGTTAGGCTTAGGCTTAGGCTTAGGCTCAGGCTTAGGCTTAGGCTTTTAAAAGCAGAAAGCTTTGAAACAAGTTACTAGTTCTATCTAGATATTAAATATTTTAGCTATTATCTTGGTTAGTTAACTTTTTCAATGCTTGAAAAGATACTAAACCTTTCCAAAGAGGCAATTGGTGAGATGTCTGCCCCAGAGGTAGTGCAATTGTTTGGTAACATGCGAGAGTGAACCTTCGTTTCTGGAAAGAATTCGATTTTTGAAACGTACAAAAGACATCAAGTTTACTGTAGTCTACTGTATATTTGCTTATATATTTGTGATCTGTTTGGCACTAATGCTTTATGAGTAATATCCAATCCAATGTCATTATAATTGGAAACGTTTTCAATGGGATCATTCTTGAAATCCAGCTTAAAATCATGCAAAAATAACGCTTTTCGATCATAAAACTCTCTATTGAAAGGGTTTGGAAAAGCTAAATGGCTTATTTTAAGCTAAATGCTAAATAAAACTATTTGTGGTCAATATATTTGAATTTAATTTATGGACCAAGATTGGCCAAGACTTTTTTTGACGACTGTAGCTTGCAGTAAATCTTTTTAACTCACCCCGAATCGAGTCGAACTTTATAGTTGCCGAAAACCGGATGCCAATGCGTTCGACTGCATTTTTCGAGCTAAATATTTTAAAAGTAGATTTGGAAAACTCGAATATATTTATTTTAATAGAAAGTTTAATAGAAAGTTTAATAGAAATCAGTCTTCAAAGCAGTCTTCAATAGAAAATCTGTTTCTAATAGAAGAGCACCCCCTGACTCCTCAAAATTGGGACTTTTCAGGACTTCTTTCTAGCTCAAGTTATAGATATGGCTTCAGATAGATATATTTTAACTTTGGCAGTCAAATTGGAAACTTGGTTTTTGAAAAAATTTTTACAGAATTTTTTGAAACAAATTTTATGTGGATTTTTTTTGGAGATTTTCTATGGGGTCCAGGTAGGGAAATAATTTCACTTTTAAACATGTTTTTGGCATTTTTTAAGCCAAGGGTTATCGTTTAAAAGAGTTTTTAACAATTTTGAGATTTTTGATTCATGTGGGGGACTCGAACGGACGGCCGAATTTGGACGGCTGGATTTGGACGGCCGGATTTGGACGGCCGAATTTGGACGGCCGGATTTGGATGGCCGAATTTGGACGGCCGGATTTGAACGGTCGAATTTGGATGGCCGGATTTGAACGGTCGAATTTGGATGGCTGGATTTGGACGGTCGAATTTGGATGGCTGGATTTGGACGGCCGAATTTGGATGGCCGGATTTGGATGGCCGAATTTGGACGGCCGGATTTGGATGGCCGGATTTGGATGGCCGAATTTGGACGGCCGGATTTGGATGGCCGAATTTGGACGGCCGGATTTGGACGGCCGGATTTGAACGGTCGAATTTGGATGGCTGGATTTGGATGGCTGGATTTGGATGGCTGGATTTGGATGGCTGGATTTGGATGGCTGGATTTGGATGGCCGGATTTGGATGGCCGGATTTGGATGGCCGGATTCGAACCGCCGAATTCGGACGGAGGTTGAAAAATAGAAGACTCTGGTCTTCGATTAGAATAAATACGATAACTTTCACTTCTTGACTGATCCTTCTAGCCTTTTAGAGCATTACTAAAGCATACAAACCTTGCCAACAATTGCTGATGAACAAATCCCCATCAACGAGTTCAGTGTCCACGTCCAGTCGAGTAAATCCTCGACGAGTAACTAAAATCGTAATCGTTTTGATCGTTTTGATCAAGTGATTGATTCATTTTACAAATTTGATTCAAAGTCTTCAACTTACCAGATAGTTCATGTGTCCTAAATGGCAAAGATTCCCAATCAAGTTCAACGCTCGAATTGGATGCAAACTTCTCACTGAGCTCTCCTCTTTCTGAAAAAAAAAGATTGCTTTGAAGAGGGAGATTCTTTACCCGAATCACTTCCAAAACTGTGCAAAGTTGATTCGATTGAGCCACCAGATCCAATGACTGAATATGATTTTATTTAGAAATTTTATTTAGAAAGAAAATCCACTCACTGCTTTTGATAGATGGCCTAATAATCCGGGAGCTGTCAGGATTTTGAAAACGAAAATTGACATCAATGGGTCATTTGATGTGGTGGCTTTGATAGGCTGAATAGCTGGTTATTTGAATATTAAACTTTTGAACTTTTGAAACCTTATATACAATGGAGAAAAGAGCGTTGAGAGTTTCGTTGCTGATGAGAGGACGAGATTCGTTGACGGCAAGAAAGAGGGAATCCTTAAATACAAATTCAGCTTTGAATAAACAGTCTAAGCTAATCTTTAAAAAATATTCTCTTATTTAATTATTGAACTTCTGACATGTTGTTACTCTAAAAAAACTGTTTGACCAACCGCTAATCGCCTGTAGTTCTCGGGTTCAGTCAACGGGGTCACCATCTTGGAGCACAGATTGTTTAAGATCTAAAACATTTCCAGAGATAGAACCAATTTCAGATAAACATTTCCAATTTCTAGATATTTCCAGAAGATTTCCAGACAATTTCAGACAATTTCAGTCATTTTCAGACATTTCCAGACATTTTCAGAACATTTCTAGAATTTGAAATCACGAGCTGGAAACCCGGATTTTCCTGTTCCTGTTCGTGGTTTGGAAACGGCGCCTAGTTGGGCAAAGTTGCTTTTTTGCTTAAAAAGATTCTTCTATTATATTTGAGCTTTTGGTTGACCAGAGTTTGATTTGAACCCTTGACCTCTCGGACTCGGTGCGAGGGCGCTAATCACTCGGCTTGGCGCCGCGCGGTCTACTCGGCCATTGATTTCCGATTGTTTTTTCCCCAGTTTTTTAACTTTTCTTAGGCTTTTCTTTAGTGTATCGCGCAGGTTTCGCAGCGGCGGCTAAGCTTGAATTGAAGTCGTTTAACCTCTTCAGAGAATGGCTCAAACTCGCGATCAAGATTGACAAGGATATGGAACTGCTTTAGAGAGATCAAGCCTGAATTGAGCATCGAAAAATAGAAAATATTAAACCGGGCTTTTGCGTAATAGCATCAAAATACCAAGAAATGTCACTAGACATAGGTTAAAAATATCACCAATCAATTCAGCATCATCAAAAACGCCGGAGTGTAAAATTTCAACATGTCAAGACGAGTTTACGAATTGCCTACTACCTTTGCACCAATTTTAGGTAGTGCGTATCTCGGTTGTTTCCCGAAAAACTCACTCCAGCTAGAGAAACCAGCTAGAGAAGCCAGCTAGAGAAACCAGCTAGAGAAGCCAGCTAGAGAAGCCAGCTAGAGAAACCAGCTAGAGAAACCAGCTAGAGAAGCCAGCTAGAGAAGCCAGCTAGAGAAACCAGCTAGAGAAACCAGCTAGAGAAGCCAGCTAGAGAAACCAGCTAGAGAAACCAGCTAGAGCTCCGACTGACAGACTAAGATTTTAAAATCAATATATAAATTAGATTTCAATATAATAGATAGAAATAACCTGTTGAATTGGAGCATTCCCTTTTACAAGAAACCATGACGAAGATGAAGAAAAAACGATTATCCAATGCACCATCGCTTGCCAACATTTCACTTCGCTGACTTTTCCACCCTAAAACTTTACTATACTTTACTATACTTGTATTCTAAATACTTGAAATTAATGAATGAATAGCTTAACGTATACTAAATAACTTAACGTGTACTTTGTGCTTAAAGGTGTTCACAGTCTTGTCGTGCTGAATATTTCGACACTTTCTACAAGAAAATCGACTTAAGTACAAGTTAAACTAAACTCAAAGTCAGACAAAAGTGGAGCAGTCAAAGCCAGATAAAAGTGGAGCAGACCGTAGTTCAAGTCTATTTAAAGTTCGCATTTTGTTATCTCTTTGAAGACTTCAGGAGAGATCAACAAAAAGACTTAAAACAAGTTAAACAAGTTAAAACAGTTTTGTTACACTTGTCAAGCCTTAATTTGTGACCTAGAATTGAGCAAAACACGAATATTGAGCGGCAAATGAGCAAATGAAGATGGATTTTCCATAGGGCTAATCATATGGGGCAAATAAAGCCTCATTTGCTCAGTAATGGCTTCATTTTATCGTTTTGACTGTCGTCAGTATCAGCTATGTTAACTCCGCCCCTTTTTCCGTCCGTTTGCCGTTGGCAATCTACAAATCTTTGCTCCGTTTTTGATCGGATTTGTTTTTAAAATGTTGAATTTGCTTTCATTCAATAGAAAATTTGATTTCGAGTCGAATGAAAGTAAATTCAACGTTTCTTAAACAAATGCCGCCTAAGATACGAGTAAAATACGATTGCCAGTCTATATAAGTCCTCTGTCTATATAAGGCAACCCTCATAAAGAGACCCAAAAAACTTGTATGCCAAATATCTCGCGATAGAGAAGTGTTTGGCAAAAACTGATTGCAGATTCGGAATCAGCCTGAAAAACTGCATCAGATAGGGTATTTCCCGAGTCAAAAGCGATGATAAGTTAACAAAATTCCCTAGCTAGCGGCCTCCTTATTTCTCCACGGCCTCCTTGTGTCTTAACGGCCTTCTTGAGGCTCGTGGCAAACGGAAACAGAAACAATGGCAAACGGAAACAGAAACAATGGCAAACGGATCAAAAAAGCAGCGAAGTTAACATGCCTGGTCCATTCAATGCGGAGTTAACATGCCAACTCACCTTGATCGATTCCAACGCCAGCGGTATTTGCCTCATCATCATCAAAATTAAACGATTCGCCGATGAAAGTAAATCCTTGTTGAGAAAGATTAAGGCAAGATTTGTGTCTCTTTCGTTGCATCCGACTGATGCCACCATATAACGACAAATTAGAGAAAATTCCTGAAACTCTTTCCTTTTATTGTGACAAAAATTTGCTTACCTGTAAATTCTGTGGAAAAGAGGCGATTCGAAGAAACGGAAAAATTACTCGTAGAATTCTTTATTGGAAACAAATTTTCTCTCCGTTGACGCATTGTAGAAAGTCGAGAAGTGCTCATTTATCGTTGATCTAAAATAGTTTTTCATAATAAACAGTAATTCATAATAATTCCATAGTAAAAAGTCAATATTTCTAGCTTTAAATGCGTTTTTTTTAGTTATAGACCATTTGAAAAAGATTATTGACTAGAAAGATCACTAGAAAGCTCTTGATCACTAGAAAGGAACAGAGAAATGCTCATGTTTTCACTGACAATTGGTGAAATCTCTTGATTTTCTTAAAAAGCTTTGCCTGATGCCTGATCTTTGCTTGATCTACCTGATGAAATCATTTTAGCGCACATTTTAGTCTCAATCAATTTTTCATTTAAAAGATCGATTCAAACAACTCACAAAATCCCCTCTCGATAGCATTTCCTTTGAATGTAGCCTCGAAGAATCGTTTGTAGACGAATCACCTTCTCGTCCTCCATTCAAAATCAATAATCGACAAGAAATCACATCACAAAACCCGCGAAATTCATTGAAAAATATCTAAAAATCTCTAAAAATTGAATTAAAAATCGATTCAACTTTTCAAATAAAACCCCTTGGTTAGCCAATTGTTAGCCGATTATCTTATTTTGGTCTTTTTTTTTGGTCCATCATTTATTCAAGACACTTAAAAGTTGCACAGACTTTAGCAATAAATTTTACAATAGACTTTAGCAATAAAGTTTAGCAATAGACTTTAGCAATAGACTTTAGCAATAAACTTTAGTAATAAACGTTTTAAGGAAATAAACAATATATACAAATAAAAGCACCAAATGACTGGATTGAAAAGTTGATGTAAATCTTCTTAAAGTTGATGTAAATCTTCTTAAAGTTGATGTAAATCTTCTCAAAGTTGATGTAAATCTTCTCAAAGTTGATGTAAATCTTCTCAAAGTTGATGTAAATCTTCTCAAAGTTGATGTAAATCTTCTCAAACAGTCGTGTGTGTTCGACTGCCTCGATGCTGTTGCAAGGCCTCTTTCTCGTCGCGTTCAAGCTGTAAATTCACCTATCAAATTTCTATCAACTTTCTTGCTTTCTTGCTTTTTTTCACTATTGATTTATTTGAAAAAAGCTTGCTTAACATAAAAAGCTGTTTTTCATTAAAGTTTTCATTCATCAATGTTTGATGAATGGAAGCTTTAAAGCTAAAAGTCTAGTCGTAACTATCATAAGTTTATTAGAACCAAAAATTAGTTGATGATAGTTGTAGAAAATTTCTTTAGCTTTTTAGATTTGCTTAGAAGCATTTGCTTTTTAAATTATTATGACCGCGAATTTGGATTGGCGACATTGGCGACAACTTTTCGGAAAAGTTGCCGGCAAACCTTGACTTATTACCAAAGTGTCAAGTGTTATATAGAAAAATAAAGCCCTTCATCTTGGCATCATTTATCTAGGAAGAATTTCCCGATTGGAATGATACAACTCATTTTACAAGCTCTCAAATGAGCTCAAGTCGACCTCTCTCCGACGATCTGCGATTTTTCATACTTTTTGATACACAATATTCATCTAAATTCATCTAAAAAAGGATTCTTTCAATCAAACTATTATTTTATTTTAAAAGTACCATTCAACAAAAATATAACGCTAGAGAAGCTCATACAGGAAGAAAATATTGTGTGTTAAAAAGTGTCAAAATGGCAGATCGATGGAGAGAGCTCATTCGAGAGCTTGTAAAATGAGGTTAAATAACTCCAACCTGGAAGTTCTTTGTAGAAAAATAATGCCAAGATAAGGGGCTTTATTTTTCTATATAACACTTGGCACTTGTAATAAGTCAAGCGTTTGCCAGCCAACTTTTAAAAAAAGGTGTCGCCATAATCTAGCGCCACCCTGTACAGACATAAAAATAAATAAACGCAGTCACTCTGTATAGTTTCTATAAATTTAAAATGCAAAAATCTCAATCTAGTACTATTGATAATGTTCATCAGACTAAACCTTTTCTTTTCTCGTGTTCCCTGAGGAGTTGTTGCGAGTCTGCATCGAGTTCATCACAATAGCCGTCGACTTTTCATCTGAAATAAAGTAATCATTTTCAACTTCGTGTTTCTAAAAGTATGGTTGGCAGCTCTAAAGTTCTGAAGATAGGTTGGCAGTTCTAAAGTTCTAAAGTTAGATTGGCAGTTCTAATGTTAGGTTGACAGTTCCTAAAGTTCTAAAGTTAGGTTGGCAGTTCTAAAGTTAGGTTGGCAGTTCTAAAGTTAGGTTGGCAGTTCTAAAGTTAGGTTGGCAGTTCTAAAGTTCTAAAGTTAGATTGGCAGTTCTAAAGTTAGGTTGACAGTTCTAAAGTTCTAAAGTTAGGTTGGCAGTTCTAAAGTTAGGTTGGCAGTTCTAAAGTTAGGTTGGCAGTTCTAAAGTTAGGTTGACAGTTCTAAAGTTCTAAAGTTAGGTTGGCAGTTCTAAATTTCTAAAGTTAGGTTGGCAGTTCTAAAGTTAGGTTGACAGTTCCAAAGTTCTAAAGTTAGGTTGGCAGTTCTAAGAGTTGGGTTGGCAGTTCTAAAGTTAGGTTGGCAGTTCTAAAGTTAGGTTGGCAGTTCTAAAGTTAGGTTGGCAGTTCTAAAGTTAAGTTGACAGTTCTAAAGTTCTAAAGTTAGGTTGGCAGTTCTAAAGTTAGGTTGACAGTTCTAAAGTTCTAAAGTTAGGTTGGCAGTTCTAAAGTTAGGTTGGCAGTCTCTAAAGTTAGGTTGACAGTTCTAAAGTTCTAAAGTTAAGGTTGGCAGTTCTAAAGTTAGGTTGGCAGTTCTAAAGTTAGGTTGGCAGTTCTAAAGTTAGGTTGGCAGTTCTAAAGTTAGGTTGACAGTTCCAAAGTTCTAAAGTTAGGTTTGGCAGTTCTAAAGTTAGGTTGACAGTTCTAAAGTTCTAAAGTTAGGTTGGCAGTTCTAAAGTTAGGTTGGCAGTTCTAAAGTTAGGTTGACAGTTCCAAAGTTCTAAAGTTAGGTTGGCAGTTCTCAAAAGTTAGGTTGACAGTTCTAAAGTTCTAAAAAGTTAGGTTGGCAGTTCTAAAGTTAGGTTGGCAGTTCTAAAGTTAGGTTGACAGTTCTAAAGTTCTAAAGTTAGGTTGGCAGTTCTAAAGTTCTAAAGTTAGATTGGCAGTTCTGAAGATAGGTTGGCAAGAAAGTTCGTAGAAAAAGTTTGCACGGCGATTTCTCAAAAACCAATCCATCAATTCTTTCTAAACTTTTCGATTTCTTCTAAAAGTCTCTAAATTTTAAGGAAAAGCTGCACTCATTTTTTACGAGTAATTTCTTGGAGTCGACTTGTATATAATAGAACAAAATGTTCTTGAATTGATGGATTCGTTTTTAAAAAGACTTAGTTGCGAGTTGCGCAAAAAATTTGGCGCAAAGTAGCCACCGCCCTTTTATTTGCTTAAGTCCAGTCAAACTTTTACCGAGAACTTTGTTTCACAATAGAATCTTCAATATATTAGACATCCTTTTAGCTATTGTTTCATTCCTAAGCTCAAAGTAAACCAAATAAACAATTTAAACAACCAAATAAACAAACAAAAACACCTCACCATTTTGATTGTTGACGGTCGATTTCTTCTTTCCTCTCATCTTTCGCCGAGCCGCTATCAAATCGATTTGTCGCTTTGTGCGCGGGTTTCGAATTCGCATAAAACAACAGACAATCACCACTAGAAACTCTTATTTAGAAGTTTTTTTTTCTTTCTCAGCTTACCCATGACAAGTAGCACACCAGAGACGAGCGCTATCAACATCCAAAGCCGTAAACCCGGCGCCACATACTCGTCCAAAGCCGACAACGTCTCATCACCGTTCATGATTCTGAAAATTAATTAAATAAATTAATAATAAAAAGATTTCATAAATCTTTAGCTATTTAGAAGAGAATTCTAGATAGAATAGGAATCTTTATTGCAAGAATCTATTCATTTTCTCCTTCAATTTCATTCAATTCATTCAATTTCAATTCTTTATCTGCCATTTCAATTATTTTAGCTATCTTTAGCTCCAATTAATCTAAACGATTATAAAATTGACTGAATATTATCCAAATTTGTCCAAATTGCTTGAAAATGAATCTGTAACTAATTCAGCACCAGTTTAGTATCAAGTCAAAGCTCAAAGCTCAAAGAAAACTATAAACTAACAGCTACAAGAGCTATCAACAGCTACAAGAGCTATCAATAGCTACAAGAGCTATCAACGTAGCTACAAAAGCTATCAATAGCTACAAGAGCTATCAACAGCTACAAAAGCTATCAATAGCTACAAGAGCTATCAATAGCTACAAGAGCTATTCATTTTCTCAATTGATTCTTGTATAATCAATAAAAAGTAACATACCTGGATTGGAAGAGAATAGAGTAATCTGGTGGAAAATGGTTGAATCGAGCGGATGTTGGTAAACGAGAAGGAGGAAAGGGGAGGTGAGATGGAGGAGAAGTCTACCCTCTTCCTCACCCTCTCACTCCCTCCTTCCCCTCCCCGTTGTCTCTTTCATCTTTTGGGCCCTCATTTTGGACACAGCTGGTGCTTCTTCTTGCCTTGAATGGCGGAAAAGAAAATAATGTGTCTGACATGTTGTGAATGGGAAAAAGAGTGTTCTTTTCGTGAGACAGGGTGTGTCACGTTGAGCGCTTTTTAGACCGCGATAAGTTTGGGATTTCTGGGCAAGACAAGACAAGTTTTGGGGTTGAAAAGGATGAGAAAAGAATGGGAATTGAAGGATTAATCAATTGAATATCGATAAACATGTTATTTGTTGATATTGATGTTTTATCGGCACAGGGGACAGCACTCATTTCTGTCATTCAAACCTTGACACTCAAATGTTTCAGATTATGTTTTGTCATGATGTTTGTGTTAAACTCCTCACTAAACTCTTTCTAGATCATATTTACCGTAAATAGAAGCCAATACTTTAATAGAAGCTCCGCCTCCTCCCCCTCCTATAGGCGCGTCGCGTAATCTAAGTTTACTCTCAAACAAACGCTCATATCTTGACACCGGTACGTTTGTTTCGACGCGCTTTAGTATCAAATTAAAGTAGAAAGGATGGGTGATTTTTTGAGATATAACACATATTTTTAGCATTAACCAGCGCTAAGAAAAAATGATTGAAAAGTGGCGAAAAAAAAAGCGGATTCACTGATGTTCTCTGTTCTTTTCTACAATAGTTTATGGTTAGTATAACAATTACAAAACTTATTGTGTGTCTGGGGTTTTGAGTGAAGGGGAGTGAAAGAAAAGAAAAGAAATTTGGAAACGAGCGCGGCTGCGATCGAATTTGAAGTCGCCAAACAGATGATTAACCGCTGGAAACAAGCTGAGCCGGCACTGATGAGTTCACCAAAAAATAATCAAGCTTCCGAGGATTGTGGAGCAAAATGGCCGGATGTGGAGAAAGATCTGAAGGCATGGGTTCTGGAGAGGCGATCAAAACAACGAGCTGTAAGTGAGCTGTAAAAGCAAAAAAGTTATGCTGCAGCGGGGGTTCGAACCCTCGACACACCGCACCGGAGACAAGCCGTCAATTTGCATGCGAAAACCAAACTTATACTCGCGACTTTAGGGTAACTAATTTACAAGTTTAAATTCAATAAAAACGTTGAAATTCGAAATTCAAACATAAATTAGCAATCATTAGCAATCATTAGCCATCACTAGCAATCATCAGCTATCATCAGCAATCATCAGCTATCATCAGCAATCATCAGCTATCATCAGCAATCACTAGCCATCATTATCAATCACTAGCAATCAGAAATTAGAAAAACAGCTACTAAAACAAATTTTAAAGTTCAACGAATACTTATGATGTGATCCTCTTATGATCTTATGATCTCGCTTCAAGATTTCTGGTTTAAGCTTTATATTCTCTGTACATTTATTCCGTTACCATTTGCTTTTCGATATAACCATTTGCCTTTCTTTCTTAAGACTGCCGTTTCATATTTATTCAAGAAATTAAAGCTACATTCTGTTGACTATATTTGTGATTCGATTTTTATACTCGACACTGATCAACGCAGACCATTTGATGGATCGGACGGGAGGAGTGATGGAACATTGAGCCATCGGCACTCATTCGATTCAATCCGGCGGCAAACTAAATTAACAAAATTAACAAAATTAACAAAATTAAAAGGCAGTTACGGTCGCTTTTTTTTACCTAATTGTATTTCTTAGAATTCTTTTATTAGAGAGAGTACTAGGTCCCTGTGAGATTTCGGAAACGAGCTAGCTGATTCGATGGAAATCGAATAGAGATTCCGAATCTATAATCAAAAATCTGCTGAATAGCTCGCAAACGCGAGATTTTTGGCATCAAAGTTTGCTATACACTCTTGAGCTGAGTTTACGCTTCTCTTTCAACGGCGGTCGTGGTGTAGCTTGTCTACGGAACGAAATTTCCCCGTTCGATTTTTTATCGGATGGGCTAGGTCTCGTTCCGAAATCTCACGGTCATCTTCTCTAGGCTCTAGGCTTCTTCTCTAGGCTGTAGGCTTCTTCTCTAGGCTCTGAGGCTTCTGCTCTGAGCCTGGGCTCTTCTCTAGGCCCTGACTTCTTCTCTAGGCCTATACCTCTTCTCTAGGCTCTAAGGCTTCTCTCTAGGCTCTGGGCTTCTTCTCTAGGCCCTAGGCTTCTTCCTGGGCCTAGGCACCTGGACCTGGGCTTCTTCTCTAGACCTAGGCTTCTTCTCTTGACCTAGGCATCTTCTCTAGACCTAGACTTCTTCCTCCTAGGCTCTGAGCTTCTTCTCTAGGCTCTAGGCTTCTTCTCTGGAGGCTCTAGGCTTCTTCTCTGGGCCTAGGCTTCTTCCCCGGGGCCTAGGCATCTTCTCTAGACCTAGGCTTCTTCTCTGACCTAGGCATCTCTCTCTAGACCTAGGGGGCTTCTCCAGACCTAGGCATCTTCTCACAGACCTAGGCTTCTTCTCTAGACCTGGGCATCTTCTCTAGACCTAGGCTTCTTCTCTGAACCTAGAGCATCTTCTCTAGACCTAGGCTTCTTCTCTAGACCTAGGCATCTTCTCTCTAGACCTAGGCTTCCTTCTCTAGACCTAGGCTTCTTCTCTAGAACCTAAGCTCTTCTCTAGACCTAAGGCATCTTCTCTAGACCTAGGCTTCTTCTCTAGGCTCCTAGACTTCTTCTCTGGCCTAGACTTCTTCTCTAGGCACTAGGCTTCTTCTCTAGGCATAGACTTCTTCTCTAGGCTCTAGATTTCTTCTCTAGACCTAGACTCTCTTCTCTAGACCTAGGCATCTTCTCTAGACCTAGGCTTCTTCTCTAGACCTAGGCTTCTTCTCTAGGCTAAGCCTACCTTCCTTGGTGCATCCATTGATCCGTGTGTCGTATGGATAATCCCGTGTATTGAGTGGTCGCGAAAAGTCGCCATCAGCACCCCATTCGTGTATTGAGCCGATTGAACGTTGACGTTGTTCTAAAGTAGCATTCGCGTTTTTCAATCAACTTTTGCTAAGAATCGCATACGGTATCGGGAAAGGTCTTGTATCCTCGAACATATCATCCGTCACCAACACTCGACCATTCAACAAACGAACGGCAATCACGTCAAGTCCAGAATACTAAAGATGTTAGCTCTGAAGGGTTACGTGAAAAATGATCTGAACGCCTACTGAATGTTGATTTGGACTGAGCTAGGCAAAAAGTTTACAGTTTACAATGTTTAACTTTTTGGCCAGGGCCAGTAACTAAACCGGACGTTTTCCTCGGTTTTTACATCATAATTCTTGAGTGAAAAGCGATTTTCAGTCAAAGCTGGATGTCACTATTGGAGAATCTAGCGGAAAAATAGAACAATTTACAATGTTTAAAATTTTGAGCAAAGTTGCGTAACTAAACCGGACGTTTTCCTCAGGTTTTTACACAACATTTTTGAGTTAAAGCAACTTTTGGTCAAGCTGGATGTCACTAGACAAGAATCTGCCTGAAAAATGAATAGTTTAGAACGTTTAAAAGTAAACATTTAATGTAAACATTTAAAGTAAACTCTCAACGTTGAGAGCTTGTTTTAAAATTTATGAGCTCCTATTGATTAGATAATGGGTACACTGCTACAGGAGACCCATTCAACATTTATTTGTAAAATTTTGTGAAAATCGGTTATCTTTTGACTGAGCTACACCCTCCAGAGTGAGTTTGAGTAATTCTGACGCACCCTGTATTACGTTGAGTACTTATAAGAGGGCAAAAACTTCAAAGTGTGACAACAAGTATGTTGTGCGCGCACAAAGAACCTAGTCAGCACTTCTTGAAAAAGCAGAACAAAATCCAAAGCGCGGATCGAACTTGCGAGGGCGTCGCCTGGAAACGAGTGGTGCTGTACTAGTCGGCCACGGCTGCAGTGAACATAAATAAGCAGTGTGATTTTCCCCGTAAACAATGACTGAAAGTTGAAACACATCTTTCTGTCAAATTAGTTGCAAGAAATCGGCTTACAATCGGTTTCCCCAATCGGCTTACAATCGGCTTCCCAATCGGCTTTCAATGTCACTTCAAAAAACCCCAGTACTAGGTGACGCGCCAGGCTAGGTGCGACTCTCAACGTTGAGAGTTTGTTTGAAAAGTTTGTGAGTTCCTATCTGGTTAAGATAATGGGCACCACTAACAGGAGACCCATTCAATATTTACCTGTCAATGTTTTTGGGAATCGGTTATCTTTTTGACTGAGCTATACCCTCCAGAGTGAGTTTGTAATTTTGACCACCCTGTAGTTAACAAATAAATAACCTGTAGGGAAATGATTTAGAATAACTATTAGATTCCCCAACATATTCATTGAGAAGCTAGATTG